TAACGAATGAATTGTTGATTTTTTAAAATTCACTAAACTACTGAAAGTTAATAGTCTAATTTTTTTCATGCATTATTATGAGCTCATGGATTTATGTATGCTCGCTGTGTTTCAATCCACTGCCCTTACTGTTGTTTTGATGTGCATGTTGACCCATCACTAGCCCCTTTGGCACTGCTGAGTCCTCTTAGTACCACCTCAGTTGTCTATAACAGCCTTCCTGGTTTCTTGCACGATGAGACGTTCCAGATTCATCGCGCATGTTTCTTGTCCTGGATCTAGAATCATCCGTGTCTCAAAGGAGTTCTGCTTCATTTTAGTGAGAAATGATATTTAGAGAACACAGTCTGAATGTCAAGATGTTCCTTACTTCTGACTGAATTACTGTTTCTAGAACTTTTCTGTCAACAAAGCTAGGAAGTCATATCTTTTATGTCTCTTTTTGCTTTGTGTTTCTTTGTTTTAAGATAGAGATAAAATACTGTGAATTCATATTGGCATTTCCAGTTGAAATTTGGAATTACAGAATTCTAACTTTCTAATTTTATTTATCTTCCCTGATTTGGGGGGTGGGCAGGAGAAGGTAACTAGGTTTATTTGTTTATTGAGGAGGTGCTGGGGATTGAACCCAGGACCTTGTGCATGCTAAGCATGTGCTCTGCCACTTGAGCTATATCCCCCCCCTTATCTTCCCTGATTTTATATTTATCTCTTAAGCTGAGAATTTTGATTCCTAATGGCATTAACATAATTATTTGCATCATCCTGAAATACATGTAATAGTCTCAAAATAGCAATAATAATACAATTACTCTATTTGAAACAGTTGAAGATTTCTCTTGCAGTCCTTTTTCTCTGTAGGTATATCCCACTGGGGAGGTACCATCAAGTTACTGTGTTTTCTAAAAAGTCACTTGGAACGTTTCCCTTTGTGTGGTTGTGCCACCAGCTGGTTATACCAGTTCATGTATATCATGTTTTGTGGTCTTTTTCCCATTTTGGAGATTGCTTACTTAATCCTGCATTTGTTTTATACTTGTGTGAAGTAGTTACATAATTCTAAAGTCAAATGTACAAAACAAGGTCTATTCATAGAAGTCCAGCTTCTATTCCTGTAACTTCCACCCTGTTGCCTCCTTCTGAACCCCACAGGTAACGTCTCTGATTTTTGGTTTAGCCTTCTGTTTGTTTCTTTACAATATAATCAAATGTATAATGTATTCATAGCCTTACTCTCCTGGATAAGTGCTACTTTCCTATATCTATCTATATACACATTATACACTCTTTTTTGCATCTTGCTTATTTTTACTTAACAGCCCAACTTGGATATTATTCCGTAGTAGTATCTCTATAAAGATACTCTTTTTTCTTCCCTTCCTTTCCTTCTTCCTTTCTTTCTTTTTCCCCTCCTTTCTTTTTACAGTGCATGGTACAGCATTGTGTGGATGTATTAGAGAACTCTTTTTTTTAATACTTTTGTTTATTGAATATTTTATTTTTTTATTTTGGGGGGAGATAATTAGGTTTTTTTTTAATTCAAAAAATTTTGGTGGCGGGGAGGTAATTAGGTTTTATTTATTTATCTTTGATGGAGGCACTGGGGATCGAACCCAGGACCTTATGCATGTTCAGCATGCATTCTACCGCTGAGCTATACCCTCCCCACTATTAGAGAATTTTTGATGGGGTAACTGAATTGTATAGTCTATCAACAGATACTCATTTGTTGAATGGGGCCTGAAAGATAGGTGGGGCTTTAAATAGATGGGGAAAGAGGATGCTCTGGGTTCGGGCAGTAGTGAGCAGAAGTCCGGGCTCTAGATGTGAATGAGAGGGCCAGGGCATTGCGAGTAAGCCGGCAGGCTGTGCGCAGAAAGGTCATGTGAGCGCAGGCTGGAAACGAACCAGAGGTCGCTTGTTGAGGGCTTTGACTACCAGACGAGAAAGCTGATTGTTTTTAAAGCACTGCTTTCAACCGCTGATATGTCTATTCAGAAACTTTTCGTGGTTCCCCAGCGACAGGACTGTGAAGAGGGATGGGACACCTGAACTGTGCTTCCAGACTACTCTGCTTAGAGGAAAAAATGTAGGGTGACTTCAAGGTGTGGGGGAGATAGGGATTTAAATTAGATACTGGCAGTGGCCAAAGAAGGTTTTAAGTTTGGTGGTTGAACAGTTAGGACTTGTTCCCTGCCTTTTATTTTCTAAGGTGGGGGAGTAGGAGGAGGGAAGGGAGAAAGGAGCAGCAAAGATACGTGTAATTCCAGTCTGAGTTCAGGAGCAGGTGGTGGCATCAGGACCCATCCCTCCCTTCCATACAGTGACAGTGACATATTTTCCCTGCATTTTCTTTGGGAGAGAAGACAAGGCAATGGATGGTGGTTTAGGCTGTAGAATTTGTGCGGTCAGTGTGCCCCCTAGTGTTTATGCCGAGTTCTTGGAGGTCACACGATGGAGTCTGGGTTCAGAACATAGCTAAACTCTGCTTTGTCCAGTTACTCACTGTTTTCCTTCCCCTTCTTACCTCAGGGCATCGCAGGCACGGATGTGGCAAAGGAGGCATCAGACATCATCCTAACAGACGACAACTTCACCAGCATCGTGAAGGCCGTGATGTGGGGGCGGAACGTCTACGACAGCATCTCCAAGTTCCTGCAGTTCCAGCTGACTGTCAACGTGGTGGCTGTGATTGTGGCCTTCACTGGGGCCTGTATCACTCAGGTGAAGGGAGTGTGGGCTGAGCTAAGACAGGAGGGTTGAGGTGGGGGCTAAGGACCATGGGATGTGGGGTACAGTATTGATACAGGGGAAGAAACGTAGGGCGAGGAGATGGCCGTGTCCCAGGCCTCAGTTGAATCCCTGGGACGTGCCCCGCCAAGTGTGGTCCTTGGCTTAGTGCAGGAAGGAACACAAGAGCGAGCCACAGTTAAGTAAAGATTTATTCAGAGAGATGCGCACTCCATAGACAGAGTGCAGGCTGTTTCAGAAGGCAAGAGAAAGGCCACGAGGTGTGGGGGTTGCGTGCTCAGTCTAAAGTAAAAATAGATCCACACTCCGTAGTCAGAGAGGGGTCCTCTCACTCAGAAGGGGGAGCGGCCACGAGGTGTGGGGGGCTAGTTTTCATGGGCTTGGTAGCTTCACATGCTAACAAGTGGGAGGATTAGTCCAACTACTTTGGGGCAGGGGCTGGGAATTTCCGAGAACTGGGCCATCACCCACTTTCTGACCTTTTGTGGTCAGCTCGGAACTGTCACGGCGCCTGTGGGCATGCCATTTACCATGTTAATATTTACAATGAGCGTATAACGAAGCTCAAGGTCTATTGGGGGTCAAATGTCCCACCCTCTTGGGCCTCAGGGCTGCTGGGAGTTGAGCCTTCCTCCGTCTTGGTGCTCATTGCCGGGCCGTTCTTTACATGGCCGCGCCGTGCCCCTTCCCTTCTGCCTCAGCAGGTTGACTGAGGCGCAAGGACCAGCGCTGCCGCAGTGGTGCGGGGGCAGGAGTCAGCCCTGCTCGGGCTCCCTCTGCTCGTGTGGGATGGTGACGATAAGTCTACCATTTAGCACCTACAGGTTAGCCAGCACAAGGGGCACGGAGCTGTACTGTCTCTGTTCTTCAGAAACAACCTTGCAAAGTAGGAATTATCCCCACTTTACAGGGGGAGAACCCAAGGCTCAGAGAGGTTAAATAAGTTTCTCAGTGTCACTCAGCTAATAAAAGGTGGCTGGCAGGAGGTGGGCCATTTCAAGGGCAACGATGTGTCTGGTGAGTGAGGAGGGGGCTGACTTCCAAGGGAAGCTAAGAGGGCTGGTGCTTCTTCCCACCAGGACTCCCCTTTGAAAGCCGTGCAGATGCTGTGGGTTAATCTCATCATGGACACTTTCGCCTCGTTGGCCCTGGCCACCGAGCCCCCTACGGATTCCCTGCTGAAGCGTCGCCCCTACGGCCGGAACAAGCCACTGATCTCACGCACTATGATGAAGAACATTTTGGGCCACGCAGTCTATCAGCTCACTGTCATCTTCTTCCTCGTCTTCGCTGGTGAGCTGAGGGCGGGGAGGGGTCGGGGGCGGCAGCCGGAGTGTTAGATGCAGATGGGGACAGAGTGACCCGAGGAGAGAAAGCAGCATGAGACGGGGGAGTAACCGCAGCTTCGCTTGCTGCGCGCATCCTCGGTTCCCGCCGCGTGGTACACTCTGCAGTTTTACGTTCTCCTCTTAAGGATCTCACAAGGGGGCCTTTGTGATACTGTTTTTTTTTTTTTTAGTATCATAAAACTGAAGGTGAGGTCACATCATGAGTAAATAGTGGTACTAAGATTCAAATCTTTGTCTGCCTGACTCTAGGGCCCCTACTTCTGCCGCCATGGGCAGCAGTTAGCCCTGCTAGGGCTCCATCTGCTCGTGTGGAATGGCAATAATTTACCTACCATTTAGCGTTTCAGTGGAGCAGGCAGAGAGCGAGCTCCAGATATGTGAGACCAGGACTAACCCTGAAACTGCTGGGCAACTGTTGTAGCTCAGATACTGACCAGCTAGCATGGACCCCAGCCCTAAGCCCCAGTGAGGTCGGCGTGCTCTGACTCAACCTGAGCCCTCACTGAGAGCTGCTTATCCTCCAGCATGTCCCTTCTCCCAACTAGGTGAGAAGTTTTTTGACATCGATAGTGGGAGGTTGGCACCCCTCCATTCACCTCCCAGCCAGCACTATACCATCGTCTTCAACACCTTCGTGCTGATGCAACTCTTCAATGAAATCAACTCCCGCAAGATCCACGGAGAGAGGAATGTCTTTTCAGGCATCTTCCACAACCTCATCTTCTGCTCTGTTGTCTTGGGCACATTTGTCAGCCAGGTGAGAGTCTGGCTGCATTTGAGCTAGTGGGTCTGGGATGGTCCAGGCTGGATGCTGGGAGCCAGGATTCCCTAAGTGCCCAGGAAAAAGAGTAGGGGGGGAAGGGGGACTCGGGCTGTGGTTTGAACATGTTCCCGATTGGCTTCCATCTGTACATTGTTCTAGAATTGGACCCTGCTGTGCCAAGTGCTCCAGTGCAAGGCAGCATGTTGGTAGAAAATAAAATAAGACTCACAGAATCCTTTCATTATCTTTCTAAAAGAGGAATGTCATGCAGTGACCAGGAGGAAGGTCACGGTCTTCTAAACCCTTTCCATGTTTTCCTGCCAGCATACTTGAAACATATGTGCACGTGCTGCGAGGATCCTCTCCCTGCCCCTGCCCTTTTGTTTTGAAAGGGCTTCATGATAGAAAATGCTACACAAGAAGAGATGGGATGGTGCGCGGGTGGTTGACAGATAAGCCTGGCCTGCACTCCTCCTGTGGGAACTGGGATCAAGGACGTGGCTGCCCCGGTAGTGAAAGGCTCGAGCCCCTTCCTTGTCCCTGTCGCCAGGGCATCTGCCGATTCAAGAGAGTTTGACAGAAGAGCTCCTGCCTCACCCCTCGGCGGGGTGACCCCTGATTGGCCCCCCTCCTAAATTCCTCTTCTCCATCACTGTCCCTTGTCTTTGTCACCCACTGGCTGCAGTCACAAGAAGCCCCCAGCCCTTGCATTAATAATGTTCATAGTAACTGGTCTGTTGCCCCATCAGAGTGCTCTGTTGGGACTGTGTGTGTCTGTCTTGCCTCCTCCCCACCTGGATCTCCTCTTTCTCCTTCCCCAACAAGCAGACCAGGGTTTTGCACCACGGGGATCCTGGGCCAGGGAGCTAGCGTGGCGTTGGTGGCCCTGACTGGAGGGCTGGCTCGCTGTCACTCACCTCCCTGATGCTGGGCTGCCTCCTCCTCTGTTCTAGATTCTCATTGTGGAATTCGGGGGGAAGCCCTTCAGCTGTACGAAGCTCACCCTGTCCCAGTGGCTCTGGTGTCTCTTCATCGGCATCGGAGAGCTGCTGTGGGCCCAGGTGAGTGCGCGCACGCGCTCCCTGCGCGCTCACACGGCCAGCGGACCTCCTCTCCTCTCCGTGAGACGGAACAAGCAGCCGTGGAGACTTGCGGCCCCTCGCTTCGTGTTCTCCTTCCTTCTCCTCTCCACCACCCAGCAATCGAGTTCTCTCCATCTCGTAGGACCCCGAAGTGGGAATGATCAGTACCCACCACTTCAGAGGCTCTGATCTCTTCCCTAATCCTGCCTGGGGACAGGCAAATCCCTTAGCTTCTCTGAGATGGCAGTGGAAATTTTCAGTGGAATTTTGCTTAAAAAAAGAGAAGTCAAGGGTCTTAGAAGTAGAAAGCATATGTCTTTCATGAAGCCACAGTCTGGCCGTGGGCCGCCGGGCTGTCATAGTTTAGGGCTCTGTTGCTACGTCGGTTTCTCACCGTAGCCTTATCTGGGATGGATGCCTGACTGTCACCTAAGAGAAATCCAGACTCACAAGAGCTCTGGAGAAGCAGGATGGCATATGGTTCAAAGCACGGACTTTGGAACTGACTGCTTGGTTTGAATCCCAGTTCTCCTTTTTACACGTTGAGTCACGCTGAGCAAGTTTCTTAACAGCTCCGCCTCCATGTCCTCAACTTAGGATCGCAGGGTCGTTGTCAGTCACTGTTAATCAGCAAAGTAGTTTCGATACAGAAATGCCTTAGAACAATGTCTAGTTCTCTGTAAGCATTCAGTAAGTGGTAGCTCTTAGTATTATAATCATGTGATCAGCTTTGGCGAGAGTTTCATTCCTTCCCTAGTAACACCTTGCAAGTCTCCCTCATCCTCAGCGCTGGCCTGGGCTGTGTCTCTGCTTTGCGGACCCCACGTCTCTGCTCACTGGGGCCCAGCTGGGCAATGGAGGCTTTGCTCTAACTGGCCCCAAAGGTCCCCCCCAGGACTGCAGGCTTTCCCCACAGACCCGTTAGTTGTGTCTTTCATGCCTCCTGGATGCCTCCATCATCAGCCCCATCCCGGTTCCTGACGGAAGTCCCTCCACCCTGTTCTGTTTGCTGAAGGTTGCTTACCACTGGGTCCCCAGAGCACGTCTACACTTGGGTGAACTTTGGTTGTTTCTCTACTGTTGGGAACGCTGATCTCTAGGTCTAGTCTCACATGTGGCCATGTGGCCTTGACGCCCGCTAACAACTTCCTTCTGCATCACAACTGCTCCTTCCAACATCCAAAAGCAGAATTCTGGCATTCTTTCTCTTTCCAAGCACTTGGCTCCATACTAGACCGCTCATACAGTCCGTCCCTCCCACCCGCCCCGCCTACTCCTCATCCTGTCCATGAGGGAGAACTGAGTGACTTACTTTGAATTGCAAGCCCGACCTACTGCACCACGTCTTCTGATAAGACTTGTCCGTCCCTTCGTCCAGGGGCTGTCCCACCCACTTCCTCACCCCAGGCCCAAGAAGACATTTAGTATCCCCTCGCTATAGCTTCATAAAACAGGAGTGACTTCGCACATGGTAAGTAAGAAGAGGGTCACTCCCCTTCACCACCCTGCTTTTCCTCCTGGCTGTACACGTGCACTGTGACCATCCTGTCCCCAGACTTGTTTCCTCCCAGGCCCTTGTCTCTGTCCCTTCCTGCTCTGTACCAGGCTTTATGGTCCTACTTCTCTTAAGAGACAGATGGCAAAATGAAAAGAAGATCTGAGCCAGAAGGAGGAGAATGAAGTCTATAACAAGGCAGATGGCTGGTCTAATGCTAGACTGTGAGTTCTCTCTTCTGTGTCCACAGAAAACCTTCCTCAGGGCCTGACAGCTGGTAGGCACTTGGCAAATGCTTGCCTGAATCGGTTGGCACCCTCCTCACTGCTCCCGCAGTGGCGAGGGTGATAGGACAGAGAGTGACCTACGCAAGGGCCTGACCCACGTCAGCGAGCGCCAGCTCTTCCCACCCTGAGTCTGGTGTCTCCCCTTTTCCTCAGATCGTCTCCACGATACCTACCCAATCCCTGAAGTTCCTGAAGGAAGCTGGGCATGGCACCACCAAAGAGGAGATCACCAAGGATGCTGAGGGGCTGGATGAGATTGACCATGCGGAGATGGAGCTACGCCGAGGCCAGATCCTCTGGTTCCGGGGCCTGAACCGCATCCAGACTCAGGTACTCCTCACCTGTCCTCGCCCTGTCTCTTTCGGGAGGTGTTAGGAGGGCAGCAGTTCTTGGTGGCCAGCGTCTCTCCCCTTCCCTTGCTTTGGGCCAGACAGAGGGGCGTAGAGGTACGGGCTCCTTCAAGAGGAGAGTAATCATAGCGCCTAGAGCACAGGACGCTTAACGGTAGCGTGGTCCCTTAGCTTTGGGCTCGTCTAAAGCCCACTTCCCACCGTCCATCGGGTGGGCAGGCTTCCTGCATAAGGTCTCCTGCAAGCGCTAAGCCCAGCCTCAGGGCGGAAGATGTTCAGGGTCTTTCCCGACCCTTCGGGGGAAGGCTTTAGACGGTGTCTCTCAGCCAGCATCCCCAGCTGACATTTGATGTGCATCCTCAAGCTGCGGCTAGGGTGACGTAGCTGTTATCTGGAGGCATCTTTGTAAAAGACACTCACTCTCTTGTGTCTTCCCCACTCAAAACTGGAGGCCGTGGTGGGGAATCCGATGGATAAGTGCGTATAAATGACAGTGGTCTTCCAGTGCCTGAGTATCTTTTACAGGATTCAGCCTTGCTTCCCAGAAAGGAAGAAGCTGTCATTTCCTCAAGCCTCTCCCCTTTTTGCAGTTTCTGAAATGACACAGAAACTGCTCCTGCTGCCCTTGAGCCCCCTGCATGTGGCACCACAGGGACCCCCCGCCCCACCTTCCACGCAGCGACCGCAACACCCTCTCCCGGGTGAAGGGGCCGGGCGGGCGCTGATAATGCCGACACTCACCCACTCACCTCGACTGCGTTAGTCCTGGGATGTCCCGTCTCCAGAAAGTGGAACCCCCAAGTTGTCAAGGGCGCTCTCCAGAGAACAGGTCTGTTCCTCTCTGGAGATCCCAGAAGTAAACTCCACTCTCTCAAGTCGGCCTTGCCGAGGGTTTTGAACATTCCCTCGTCGAGCCCACCGCTTCCCAGGGAAGAGAGCTGACATGCATAGTCCGAACACAGCGGCCCCCACGTACCCGCGGCGCGGCCTCCCTTGGCTTCCGTGACCCACGGTCAACCGCAGTCTGAAGGTACTAAGTGAAAACTTCCAGAAACCAGTAACTCACCAGTTTTCTGAGTAACTGATGGACTCTCACGCCTCCCCACTCTGCCCTGCCCCGTCATTCCCACTGCCTACCGCACCCTCGCTGTGTAAGCTGCCTGCCCCTTAGTCCAGGGAAAAACATAGGAGACACAGGGTTCAGAGCTACCCGCAGCATCATGCATCCACCAGGGGTCTTGGACCGGCTCCCCCCCGGAGAAGGGGAGATGACTGTCCCAGCGAGGGATCTGTAGACAAGACAACAGACGGAAGTGGGAAAGCGGGTGCTGGAGCCCCTTGCCCTCTCTTGAGTTCCTCCTACCAGAGAGGGCCATCCCTATGGGACCTCAGAGCCTGGCCAGAGTTTCCACACCTCCCCCCACGCCCCCGCCCACCGCCCAGGCTGCTGAGTCCGTCACAAGCGAAGGCCTCACTGCGCAGAATACTTGGCGCCTTAGGGCCTTCCTTTAGGTCTGCTCTTTTCGAAATAACCTGTCTGCTTTTCTCCCCCTCAGGATCATCTGCCTCCTCTTCTACTGTGTACTTTTTTCCTAGCCAGGATGTCCTTGTTCCAGTGTCTCCTGGCTCCTTGCCAGTCTCCTCTCCTGGGGCCTGGGATTCATGGATCTTCCTTCTCCTCCAGCTGTCAATTCCCATTCCCTGACTCTGTAACTCTCTGGTTGCACTGCCTGCGTAGCTTTAGGTGTACCGCCTCTCTCTGTTGGAGCGAGAGGCAGTTGGACCAGAATGGCATTAAAGCCTTAACTTAGGCAGCAAAGGCAGCCTGTTAAAGACGCCACGACGAGCCCCCGCAGTGCGCACCTGGCCGCACCGGCAGATGAGGCTGGCTGCTGACGTGCACCCTGGACACCTAAAGCTCTGTCCTGGCGCCAGCTCTTCAGCCTCAGCAGGGTTCTAGCAAAACTCCCTGCCGGCTGTTGATCCTTGTCATTCTTATTGGAACACTTAGGGGTGGGAGGTGTCGCCAGGCTATTGTCCCATCCTGGGTCCCCTTCGTATGGGGAGAACTCAGAGCACTAGAAAGCAGAAGTTTGGGAAACCTGAGGGCTAGAATCCTGGGAAGGTAAATCTGGGGTCTAGTTTCGTTGTGGAAGCTGGGAACTTGTAACCCTAAGAAGCACTGAGGAGGGCGACTCCGCCACGCCTTCTGACATGTGGCTGAACCCGCCCCATGTGCAAACTTTCTCCTCCAACAGGATCAGTCTCCTCCATCCCCCGGAACTGAAAACTGTATCACGTGCCGAAGGGTGGTATTTTAGCTCAAACTCGGTCTGAATCCCGAATCTAGCCCTAAACATTTCATGGCTTCTCAGGAAGCTTTATAAATGAGAACCTGTCGCAAGGTACCTGCTTTCCTACCTCCTCACGTGGGGAAATGACGTTGGATGGGCGGGGTCAGCACCTGTCCTGCGTGGCCTTCGGCACCAAGCATGGGGACACTTGCAGGATGATCCCACCAGATCCTGAGGGATAAAGGAATTCCTTTTGATGTGTTTCCTGCTGCTTAGAAGTCAGAAATGAGGATGGTAGGTTTGACTGAGGCCCCAGATCAAGACCATTGTAGGAAAATGAATGGCATTAATTGCCTCTGTCTCTGAGGAGTAGGTCCCTGAAAACCAGAGACAGCTTGTGTGGGGCTAGATCGCAGCTGCTGACCACCACCACCACCACCACCATCAGCCAGCAGTTCTCCCCCCCACCCCCAACTGCTGAGTTCCTGTCTACACCGCTGCCAGACATTTCAGGGTCTCCAGCACACAATGCATGTAGTGGCGGTCTCCCTGAAGAGCCTGGCCACCGGGTTCCTGAGCTCCGCTCTCAGGGGCTCTGTCCACTTCCACCCAAGGAAAGGGTGTCTCAGAGAAGAACCCGGAAGACGACGAGCCTGGCAGCTCATGGGCCAGAAGCCTTCCCACCATGGCCACCTGTGTATGGGCTGCTGCAGTGCCTCTGTTTAAACACATGAGTTTTTTCCCTGGAAAATCTGCAAAAATACGTAGTCAATCTAGTCGGTTTAGAGGTTCCTGAGCCTCAAAATTCAGTAATATATCCTTTACCTTCTATCGTAAATTGCATACCTTATTTTTTTTTTCAAGAGTGTAGGTCAAAGCAGGTAATGAGCGGTCACTCTTGTCAGGAGTCATGAGGTGGGGAAGTCTCTTTAAATTTTAGATACTTCTGGACACCAGTACACCTAAAACATCCATCGTAGGCTAAAAGGCACGAGAAGACTGGATTCTGGCTGGGTATTTAGACCCCATGGCAAAATTGTTCCTTAAATGAAGGGTGATGTGCAATTAACATTTTTTCTCCCCTTCTCCTTACCATTGCTTTATGTGTGAGGGGATTTCTCTTTTGCTTTCCATCTCCTTTTCCCAGCTCTTTCCATCCCCCTCCTTCACCCTCCTGGACCTTCCCTTCCTCCTTTTTCTTCACCTCTTTCTGCCTGTGGAGCAAAGCTGTCTCACTCTCTGATTCTTTGCAGATCGACGTAATTAACACATTCCAGATGGGAGCCTCTTTTCAGGGAGTCCCAAAGCGCCAGACCATGAGTCAACACCTTGATGTAAAACATGTTCATAGATCCTATGTCACAGTTGCACCAGTCAGATCTTCCCCCAGCACTTCTGGCGCTGCCGCTGTTTCATCTTCTGCTCTAGGCAGTGAGTGATAGTCTATTACAATGCATGATTTGCTGAAATGACCACAAGAGAGCACGTGGCATCCACTTTAACCGAATGTGGTTAGCTTTTTCTTTTGTTTTTTTCCCTTTAACCTTTGACTTAAGGAAAGAAAAGTGGGGCCAAAATCCCACTCCAAAACCTTTTGATGTTGAAAAGCTATTAAACTGTTACCATTTTAAAGACAACAGTCCTGTTTTCTGACTGTTCCTTTGCATTGCGTTCCTTCCTTGAGTTTTTTGTTTGTTTGTTTTACTTTACTTTGTTTTTAGCTTTGTTTGAGTATGTTGTTGTCATTTCTCTCCTCTCTCCCGTCCTGTCCTCCTGCTCCCTCGAGTCTAAACTCAGTCTTCTAAGGTTAGATGCAAGGTTAAGCCAAATGAAGACCGTCAAGAACTCTCTTCACTGGGGGACACATTTGAGATCTCCTGAAAAAAGAAAAAAAAAGCATGAAGGGAGCTACTGTTTCCATGGGGTTGTTTGATTTTGTTATTGTTGTGGGGTTTTTTTTGTTTTGTTTTTTGGGTTTTGTTTGTTTCTTTTTTTACCAGTAGAGCTGTCATAATTGAGTCATTGTTGAACTTGGCCAATAATAATAGTCCTTTTGGCTGCCCTCCTACTGTTAGCTGACAATATTGGCCTCAAAGTTGTAGCTGACTGTGAAGAAAAGCTGTTCAGTTCAGATGCCCAGTGCTGAGCATCCCCATTATTTTACTTTTCAGGGACTTTAAACCAAGCTCTGGTTTAAGAATCAATTCATTCACATCTGGATAGGAGAAGTACATGGAAAGATCAGATAACTTCTTTTCCTTCACTTGTTGAATTTTTTTCTTTTAGGAATTTCTGAAGAGCAACCTTTTTTCTTCTTCCTTCCTTCCTTCCTTCCTTCCTTCCTTCCTTCCTTCCTTCCTTCCTTCCTTCCTCTCTCTTTTCTTTTTCTCTCTCTTTTCTTTCTTCTTTTCTCCTTTCTTCCAGTTGATTGTTTCACCTGTAGCCAGCACTTCATTTCTTATTTCACACAAAGTTTTAGGAACCCCTTTCTCAGCCAGTCAGCTGGAATGCTGCCAGAGCGCTACCTAAGATCTGGTGGATGATTGGTAGATTATTAGGCTCTTGCTAGTGCTTATGCCTTCCTATTTCTGGTCATTTTACCTGAAGTGGGACACAGGTTCCTTGCTGACAGTGCTGTTAAGATATTCGGTGAAGGAGCCTCTCTGTATGAAGTGTACTGTGGGCTTCAAATACCCGAGTGTTTAGTCTGTTTCTCCCTCCCCTAGTTCCAGCGATCACCGCCCGACCCTGGGGCGGGGGAGGGGTAGAGAAGGACAGCTGCGGCGTCTGCGGGTCGCTTGATTGTGCGTGTGGAGGTTGACAGACTTAGACTATCTGCTGTCTTTTTGGCCGATTCTAAGTGTTCTCGTGTGAGGGGCAGAGGGAGAGGACATTTATATACATACATATTTAGGCCCAAAGGCAGTCAGAGAACTAAGTAAGTCTTGCTCTGCAAATAGGCGAGGTTTTCTCTCCCTAATCCTTCCATATTCCTCTCCTGTTTCCCTTTTTCCTCCAGCTTTGCCCTGTCCTTCCAACGGGTTTCTGTTCTTTTTTTTGTCGTGCCTCTCTGTTAGGAAGGGTTAGTGTCAGCTGCCTTCGTGATTTGAAGGTGGAAGGAGACTAAGCAGCAGACAGCCCACCGGGCGCACGTGGATTTGCTGGTGGAGGGTGTGGCTCCAACCCTCAGAGACTGGGAAATCGGGGGCGGCCGGCCACACCCGCCCTTCCTCCAGCTCGGCCTCCTTGCTTGGAGGGCCTAGGAGTTAGAGGCGTGCCCCTGAAAACCCCCTTTCCCACTCCAGACTTCCAAACGAGTTCAGTTGTTCATCTGACCCTCAGAAGATAAAGGTCTTAAGATTTCGCTCTATAAGAAGGTCCCCAAACCCTTCTCTTCCCCTGGTTTCTGAAAGAGGAGCAGAAAACTACAGAATTTCAGCTGCAGAAATGGAGCCCTCATCTGCCCATTCATTGAGCTCCAGAGAGGGGCCCTGAGCGCTCACACCTAGCCTGAGGTCCAGCCTGCTTGGGGAGAGTCATGAGAAAGAACTGCCCTTCCATCGTCCACTCTCATCTGTAGGCCAGGGACCCCAAAAAGGCATCTCCCAGAGACTTGGGAAGATGATGACCGGGGAAGGAAGGGTTGATTGGCTGAGTGGAGAGTGCCTGAAACTTTCACAGCACCCGCCTCGCTGTCTGTGTCTTGTTTCCCGTACGCTGCTCACGCACCAGGCGCCATGCATTGGGGAGGGTAGATGTCACCACTTGGGGTGGGTTGGTGGCGATGTAGCTGTATGACAGCTCATCAGCATGTGTTATGTAGTCTCTGGACCAGTGTTGGAGTTGAGGAGCACAACCCACGGCCTATACGCACCTCACCCTTCTCTCCACCCGCCCAGCCACCAGATGGTTCTCCTTAGCTCACTGACTCCTCTTCCCGTGAGCTTCCTGAAGTCCTGTAATCTAGCTGGATGGCTGTTCCTTGCTCCCCCAAAGAAGAAATTGTCCCTATTTTTTCCATCTCTCCAACCCCAATTCACTTTTATGTCCCTTATTGTTTGCCTGTGACAGTGTTGCTGATCACCCCAGCAGGTGAGAGGTGGAGCCAGCAAACAGGGCTCCAGACCCTCACTCCAACCCCAGTTTTTAAAAATCTGTCTTCTAGAGTGGACTGCACATACAATTGTGTTAACAAAGTATTCAATTACTTCAGAAAATAATAGACGCAGGAAGTTTGAAAAATCACTGACATTGAAGATGATCAACTGATGGTATAAAGGTAGCTGTTGTCCTGTAGCATTTGTTAGAAATGTTGAGATCTCAGGAGTAAGTGAAAAGTATGAGCTATGTTATCAGTCCTACAGGTGCTGGCATGGCTTTGGGTCCATCTCTTGACCCAGGCAAGGGAAGAGGGCCCTGGGTTTGGGCTCCCTGAATCCAAGGTGCCTTGCTCCAAGATTTGACATCGATCAGTGAAAACTTGGGACCTCCTAAAAACCAGATGGAACCTATATTCCACCTGATCTCACCTAACGAGGGCAAGTAGGTCCTTGCTTTCTGTGCAGCGTGGTCAGTGTGTGCCCGGCTTCCTTGAGTCTTCTTAGTGGAAGATGCTGAGCTGATTCAGTTGAATCGCAAAGAGTCCTTTGCCTTCTGAGCTCTGAGCACCCTCCATCCTGGGTGGGGCAGCCAGTGTGTTGTGGAGTGAGGCAAGGTCAGGCAAGCCTTAGCGACAGGGACACAACTTCAGTGCACCTGCCTCGTGCATTGTTCTGGAGGTTTTCTACAGTGATAGGAAACACTGGGACAAGCGATCCAGCCGGCGTATCTGCCTGCCGCCTTGTGTGCTCCGCTGTCTCCACATTCCTGCCTCTTCTCCAGGAACATATTCTTTGCTTAAAGAGCAGAGTCATGAAAGATGCGCCCTGCCCCAGCCCTCATCATGTCTTGTAGCTCCATCCTCACCTCCACAGCTTCTCCTGCATCACTTCCATTTCTTTTCTTAGGGAAGAACTTTGGGACCAGACTAGGATCGGCCACCTCCCAACAACTAACACAGCCCCACAACCGCTTTCTTCTCCCCTGGCCTCTCTCCCCGACCTCTCAAGATCCAGCCTTCTCCCCCACCTCAATTCTGCCAACTCAAGTTCTAAACCATACCTCAGAGAGACCTGCAGGTCCAAAATACAGCTCCCAAAAGAGCTGGAACCTGTGGATAAGGCAGAGGCTGGGCACAGGGATCAATTACGGTCCATTTTCCCCTCTTCTCTAAAGTGACTCAACCCCTTCCTCTGCTGTGCAGTAGAACAAAGCTTTAGACACTTACAGGGCAGTGCATTTCCCTTTTCCCAGCCGACAAATTGTTTCCTCCATCCTCTTGGACCACCCCATCAGGAAAGCCCCTTGTGTGGAGCACTGCCTCCCGGATCGGGTGGTTTCTCTCCTGGTCCCATCCTTTCCCTTCTCCACATAAGATCACGTTCCTCTTCACCATTTACAAACAGCTGGAGAAATCTGCATGACGGGGCATAGCTGCTACGTGTCAAGGACAGGGACACACGTGTCCAGCCTCGTCTGGGCTGAGAGCACGAGCCTTCCGTCAGCGCCGGGAGGAGGGTATCTTCTGATGCCCGTGTCTCACCCACCTCTTGCGCGGGAGGGGGCGGAAGGAGTGGAGTTCTACTTTCTCCGGGGGAGGAGAACATGGTGGAGAGTGTGGGATTATAAATACGTGCATGTTTCCTGACTGAAAGAGCAATTGTTGGGAGCGTGTGTAAGAGTTTTACTTTCTTGCATGCTGCTGACACAAGTGAAGATTGGTTTGTCTGCCTTGCTGCACGGTATTCATGGCCACTTATCACCCAAAGTGTACTGTGTGCAAATTGATACGTGTTTGGCTCTTCGAGGGTTTCAAACAGATAACTAAACTGCAATGTGTAATTTTTCCATTCCACATTCACAAAATGTTTGGCCTCAACACAGAAGTCCACATGTCAGAATCATCTTTTAAGTTTGGCTATTAATTTGCACCTGGTTCTAATGTCCTTGCTCTCCATCCAAAAGAACTAACGAATCTTTTTGTTTTCTGTTCCGTTTTAAGAGTGGATTGTTTGGGAATGCTAACTTTGCTTTGGATTTTCTACTTTTTTTTTTAATGCAGCTTTTGAAATATTCTAGTTGTTTGCCATGCCTCACCTTCCCCACCCCACCTCAGTGCTTGAAATTTGAGCCACGTGACATTTCTAGTGTTTCATGATCTCTTCTCATACGTTTGGTTTTGGTTTTTTGAGCAGTGGTGTTTTGTAGTTTGGGTTTTGTTTCTCTCTTCAAGCCACCCAGTTGCTTGTTTTACGAGCCAGTTCTCACCTCCGTGTTTTCTCACCCTCCTTTTCCTTCCCTGGCGTAGATCAAAGTGGTCAAAGCATTCCATAGTTCCCTCCATGAAAGCATTCAGAAACCCATGAACCAGAACTCCATCCACAACTTCATGACCCACCCCGAATTCGCCACAGATGAGGAGGGGCCACGGACACCACTCATGGATGAGCAAGAAGAGGAAGGTCTTGAGAAGTTTTCTAAGCCTGGGACTAGCATGGCCCCGTCGGATGGTGAGGTCACTCCGTATGCCAACAAAAACAACAACGCGGTGGACTGCAGCCAAGTGCAGGTTGCTGCCTCCCACTCGGACAGCCCTCTGCACAGCCTGGAGACATCAGTTTGAACTGGGTTCTCTGACTCCCGTTCCTGCTCACCCTGTTGCCCTTGGTATCTCTCCCTTCAGTACGGTGAGAATGGGACTTCTCACTGTCACGTCAGCTGCTCCCAAGCGTGTCTGAACCCCCACCTGACCGTGAAGAGGGAAGAGCACAGACCTACAAGGATTTTGACTTAAACTTGAGTTGGGGTTTGTAGCAGGACCCTGTTCAACCCCAAGTAGGTAACGAATGGTAGAATCGACCCTTTAGGTCTATCAGTTGTCACTTTTAAAGAAGTGTTGACAATCGTCTTGGCATCTACCCCAGCCCAGATGCTCCCCAGTATTCACATCTATGTCACCAGTCTCCTGACGTCTGGGTTTTTGACCCTATGCGTCTGCGCCGTTGACAAGCTCATTTAAGGGTTCAGAGCCACAAACCTGCTCACATGAAATGTGTTCAGGTGGGAATGGAAGGTGTAGACGCAGCTGAGGGAGTGATTGTTTTAAAACAATTTTTCCATTTTGAAAACTTACACCTAGAGCACTACACCTTTTCTGCCCTTCCAGCCCGACCTCCCCGCAGCCTCTCGGTCTCTTGTGACCATTGTTTTCCTTGGCTTCCTTCTTTTTTTTTTTTTAAAGTTGTAATGATTCAGAAAATGGAAAGGGTGTGGATGAATGGAGTAGACTTAAACCATCCTCCCTTATGGCCCCAGTGGAACCCCTGATTTAGCTCTAGAGGCAAATAGGTTTCTTTGCTAACAGGGTCCTTGGGAAGCAATCGAGAGCTGGTAAGAATGTGTTCCTGCTGTTGCCAGGTTATCTACTTTTGAAACATTTTGATTTTGAAAATATGCATCCAAAGTGGGAAGCTCCAGTGACACTTTGCTGACTTAAAGGAGCAAAGGAGCCACCCTGAGAAGCCCCTCCCCTCCCTCCCTCCCTCCCTCCCTCCCTCAGTGGGGGGAGGTGGAGCCACGTCTTAGGACCTCTATTTTCCTCCTTGCTGGTGGTGACGTGCGCTCTCCTGTGCAGGGGCAGCTCATGTCTGCCAGTTCCTGTCTCCTACGAGTAAGTGGAGCCTGCCCTGCCCTTCCTGGAGTGGTGGGAGTAGGGAGGAGGGGCTCGAGGCTCTTACGAACTGCCATGTTTCCATCTGGGAGAGTCAGGTGCCCGAAACCTATCCTCTCCAGCCTTTCCTTCCTCCCCCCTCCCCCTTTTCATCTGAGCTGTCCTAGGACGGAAGAACTAAAGGAGCAGTCCCCCCGACACATCCCATTACTACACAGTCCACCAGATTTGATTTGGGTTTGTAAAGGTTCCATGCTTCAGCGATCTTCTCTCTGTCTTAAATGCTCATGGGGGAAAAAACAGCTCAACCCACGCTGTTAGGTGTTCACATATATATTTATTAATTACATTGGAAGATTTAGTTCTGTCGAGTCTTATATTACCTCAGATCAGTGTTTAGAATAAACTCTGGAGGCTGTTTATTCATTCCTGCTCCCAAAAGACTCTCACGGTGCCTGTTTAAAGTCAATGGTTGTGTGTGTGTATTCTAGTTTCCATAGTAAGAGAGAAAACAGAAATATGCAAAAAATATAGTTTTCTTTAGATCAGAAACTGATAGTTTTTGAGTTAGCCATGTGTATTTTGTTTAAAGGAATTAAAATAAAGTGCTGTCGTGTAAGCCTGGGGAGGGGAGCACATAACCAGCAGTTAGACATGACAGGTTTTGTCATTTTGTCATTGGTTTTAGAACCAATGCACCATATTCCTTTTCTCCAAACAGCCATCTTTATACTGAAGGGGAAAAAAAATTTGTTGGGTTCTAGAATTTTTTTAATATAAATTTTGTTGACATGGAATTAAGTTGAAGTGTTTATGTGCATATTTTTTATGTAAGTTTTTTTTTCTATTTAGTTTCAGTGATCCAGCTGACAGTAAATAAATATGGAAGAAGTTAATAAAGCTTCCCCCCAAAATGGTGCTTTGGATCTGAAAAGAGTCTGATGGGGAAAAGGGAAAAATATTATCCTAGATTAGATTCTTCTTTGAAAAACCTAGAAAAATGGGCAGTAGATCACTGCTGGGAAGGAATGCAGCCAGGAAGAAGGCACAGCCGGCAGGAAGCGAGTGTGCACCCCCATGGAGATGGGTACCAGGCACTAGTGATCAGGACCAGGGACCTCGGTTAGACTTGCAGTTTGTGAACAGCTGTCAGAGTGGTACCCAAGACACTGGCTGCCAGGATGCTCTGATTGGGGGTTTGCATTTTTTATGGTTCTTTTACCTCCTGTTGCCCCTGGGTTTTTCCATTAGTGATTTATTTCTTTTGGCAAGGATCTGATTTGAGATTTCTTCCCCTCCCCTAGAAAAGTTTCATACAATCTATTAGATGAGAGATAGAACCCTAAGTGGAAAAATAAAGGCTGGTTCCAGCCCTAGATGACAGTGTGGGGGCTAGGTCCTTCCCAGAGGTGTCCTCTGCCCTCTGAAATGATTCCCTCATCTCTAAGGCGGTAGAGACACCACTGAGAAGTCCCTCTGGCACTTGTAAGTTCTTCTCCCAGCTGAGCTTCAGAAGGGAGAGCTTGCCCAGTGAAATCTGAGTGATTACCTCACTGCCGAAAACCCAGAGGGCCGTGGCAAGCTCACGTGTGCCGGACACCTCTAAATACATCACTTCCTTTCTTGCTTGCTTTCCTTGCCTCGTGATCGAAGCAGCCTATGATGCCAACACAGGGTGCACCCTCCCTCACTCCTCACTCCTCACTCCTCGGAACTGGGGACCACCTCACTGCAGTGGGGGAGGGGGGCGGGAAGGCGAGGGGCACTTCTAAATGCCTGCTCTTCTTAAGCCATTCCAGCCTCTTCCTCAGAATAGACCAGACACCCTTGCGCTGAGCTCAGTGCCGGCCTTTACCTTCCCGGCCCTGCTGTCAGGTCTGCGGTCCGCTTTCCTCCGAGACGGAGGGCGGTGGGCGCCCCCTGATGGAACTGGCCTTTGGTTCATGTTTTCTCCCCATATGTGAATATGCCATATATGTGTGCCAACAAATCTCTCTCTGTTCTTTTCAAATCAGCACGCAGATAGGAATTTTGAGTTTCTTTCTTTCTTTCTTTCTTTTTTTAAGTAACTAGTATAACAAGCACTGGTATCTTTGTATAAAAGGGAGAAACAAGACAAAAGATTGGCCATTGTGGTCTGCATGACTTAACAAACAAATGATGATATGAAAGCAATGCGTACCCCAGTGTGTGTTGCCATAATTTGCAGTTCAGGCAAACAGAGCGCCCCTCCTGCATTTGCATTTTGATATTATTTAAGCTCTCTGTATAATGTTTTGCATGTAGTTATATGATTCTTAGGGAAAAAATACGCTAAAAATTGGCAAATCTGAAATTCAAATATGCTGTTCCACTGAGACGGGAAAAATAGAAGGGGAGTTTTAAAAAAAAAGGGAAAAAAGGATACTTTTTTGGAACCAATAAAGCTGTTGCTGATGAGCAAAAACAACACTGTTGTGCACTGAGAATAAAAATCCGTGCCCACTTGTAACTGTGCTGTCCTCAACGTGTGCCCCACTCTGGGCTGATGCCACTGGTTGTCGAAGTGGAGAGGGGTCTGCCACAGGCATGCCGGGAGCCCAGCTTTGCGAGCCCAGAACTCAGCTTGTCACTGGCCCCCGGCTTCTCGGCCGCTGTTTCCCTCCGGTGACTCGCAGCCCTGGCGCCGGCTTCCTTCCCTTGGAGGACAGCTTTGCTTTGCCCTCCTTGGTTAGAATCTACAGTCAGGGCCTTGTGAAGCTGGAGCTTTTGAGCAAGGATGACTGTGGAAGGGTAAGAAAGCGCTTGGTGGTCCTATATATATATATATATTTTTTTGCTTTGCTTTATTTTTATTATTGTTGTTGTTGTTATTAACAAAATGCCTGTTGGGAAAACTGGTTTCCCTTATATCAGCCGCTGTTTCCTGCCTCTCTCCTGGGGCTCTCCAGTCCCCATCTTGCCAAAAGTGCTTTTTGCGGGGGGTTCTTTGTTTTGTTTTGTTTTAGGGGTTTTTGTTTTATTCGTTTGTTTGGGTTTTATTTGTGTGTGTGTCTGTTTCAGTTGCTCCATATTCCCTGGGTCTCTAGCGTGACTGATACTAGGCCTTCGTTTCAGGTCAAAACAGCTTCCTGGCAGGGCATTTGGGTTCTGAGCTTTCATATCTCAGTACTCAGAACTCCTTCCAGCAATTCTCACCTAGATGCACAGTCAACTTCCCTACTCTGTTTTAAAACATCGAGGAAAGAAAGAACCTCGTCAGCTTGCCAGGATCTTTTAGGAAAGTATGAGGTTGGAGAAGAACACAGACTCTCCCAGCTGCTTGAACAGGCTGGTTCCGAAGGAGCCATCAGCCTTGGTTGGAAAGTCTTCTGTACTGAGAAGTCTTAGCCCCGCTTTTCTTCACTGTCCCAGGCTGCCCTCCACAGGCACAGCCACCCTGCCCGCTTAGATTCTTTGAAACATATGAGGGAGAAAGTAATTAATAACCTAACAGACAAACGGGGCTGGGACTTACTGACAACAGAAATCATTCACGATGCAGAACTGATGTCTTGCTAATTCCATTGTAGCTTCCCTCCCAAATACCGTCCCTAAAAAAGGGGTGCAGAACACGCACACACATACGCACACATACACACATATACATACACATACACATACACACGTGCACACACGCACACACATACACATACACGCACGCACATACGCACATACAATACACACGCACGTGCACACACCCCTACAGTCTTTTCTAAAGTCGGGCCGTGTATTTCTCCTCTTACTCTCACCTTGCCTTTCTCGGGCCTGTGTCTCTCTGCTGTGCCAAACAGGATCTTAAGAATCCATACCTCCTAACTCCAGCATGTGCAGTAAAGCGTGGAGAAAAGTGAGCTTTAAAGTAGCCTTCTGGCAGAGACCAGCGCATCCTAAGGCGTTGGCTTAATGGGGTGTGAAGCCAGCTCAGCTCCTCAGGCCTGAGTAACCATATGGAAAAAAGCAGGCTCCTTTCTTCCATCTTTCCCTCCCCACCGTTCTAAAAAATATTATTTCTTTGCCCTCCATCTTTTTTTCCTTTTTTAAAAATTATTTTTAATTTGCCTTCTTTTTTTAATTGAAGTATAGTCATTTTACAATGTGTCAATTTCTGGCTTACAGCACAATGTTTTAGTCATACATATACATACGTATACTCATTTTCATATTCTTTTTCATCAGAAGTTACCACAAGGTACTGACTACAGCTCTCTGAGCTGCAGCATAAACTTGCTGTTCATCTGCCTCATATACAGTAGTTGGTATCTGCACGTCGCGAACTCCCAGTGCCCTCAGTCTTTAATAACCGCCTGAGAGTCTCCCTTTCTCAGCTACCGTATCTCCCCACTGCGGTCTCCGGGTTTCTCTGAAGCTCTCCACCAAGACTGGCTGATTCTCCCTCAAGTGTACACACAGCCAGGCAACTCCCTGCCTCACTCTGGCAAATCCGAGGATGACTACTTGAGTATAGGTAAGCTGGGTACCAACTCCCGACCCGGGTCTCCTAGGGCCTGGCCTCCAAGTCACTGAAAGCAGGATGGAGGAGACAAATGGTATGTCCTTTACAAGCAAATTTGGAAGCCGTTTTGTAAATAAAACATGAGCATCTGGTGCCGAGATGCCTAGTGGGTAGGAGCCGTATCGGCCCCACGTTGCAGCTGCCAGGGTCCCCACTAGGGGAGGGACGTCACACGCACCTCCCACCACCATCCCAGATGTATATACATGAACATGCAAACCATCTGTGCCCCTCCCCACGATCAGAAGCCCCCATGCCTCAGTTTCTCCAGTGGACAACAAGGGCATTGGCTGGACACTGCGCCCTCAGCCTCCAGGAATTTCCAGCCTCACCTCAGTCTGTCAGACCCTGCCCTGGCCTGGCCCAGTACACACCCAACCCAGGCCCTGCTCCATCCCCTGCCCACACATCCCAGGCCACCAAAGGCCTCCATCCCCAGACACCAGGCACAAAAGGCACTCTGCTGTCCTGCCCGCCCTGTGTCCAGGGAAGACTGCACTGGGGAGGGAGAGGCAGGTGGGCACACACAGCACTGAGAGGGGCCCAGGATGCTGGCAGGCATGCGGGGCTGGGAGAGCCAGTGTAATAGAGGAGAACAGATCTGGCTCGATATTGGATCTGTTCTTTCAGCTTTAACCCTAGGCCGTTTTCCAGTCTGAGCCTTGCAGGCTCTGCACCTTCTGTGAAACAATGTTGCCCTTAGTCTGAAATAGACAGGAGAGCCTATTCTGGGGGCTCTGACCTCTAAGGATGTTAGCACTTCTGCACTTAGGCAGAGATGGCAAGTTGCAAAATAGAGAATAACTTGGTTTGTTGCAAGTTTGCAGAGACACCATGGACTGGCCCACATGGACAGCTGTAAGAACAAACAATTCCTGCAGGAAGAGGTTTGCAACAAACAACCACACCCTCTCTCCTGTATTTTTGTGTAAAAGGAGCCTGTAATCTGACTGGAGCAGGATGGTTCGCCAAGACATTAGTCTGCCATCCTCTCAGTCGGCTTACTTTCCAAACAAAGTTGTTATTCCTTGCTCCAACATCTGGTCTCCTGATTTATTGGCCTGTTGTGCGAGGAGAACAAGTCTGGACTCGGTAACACCAGCAGGAGGGGGCCCCGGTCCACCCTGCCCACTGCAGCCTGCCCTCCCTGCTTGGGGTGCCCCATGGGCCCACACAGATCTCCCTGGGCCACAGCAGGGGAGGCAGCTCATCACCCGGAAGCAGAGGCAGCCCTGGCGGGAGACCCCCATTGCAGGCCCAGGATAACCTGTCTGAGCCATCTAAGGTGCTTGGGGTAGCTAGGAGGGGCTGGGAAGCTCAGGCAGGCCTCCCTTCATGAGCACGGAGCCGTTGGGGCACTAGACCAGCC